CACAGTTCAGTCGTCGAAAGACCACCACCACTCCCAGGTTTGGTGGAAATCGACGAGCCTATCGATGACTGATCGATACATGGATGATCTCGGCCCTTAGGATTAGGCTCAGCGAATTTCTTCTAATCCAATGCATATGACAATTTCTACTGCAGCTAGTCTGAATGTGGATAGTCTTTGGAAGAAAAATTGATCATTCCGAAATGAAAATATCATTGTTTTTCATTGCTATTTTCTTCCCGTCTCACAGAGAGATTATAAGTGAATTCAGTACAAAATGATGATTCATTTCAAAACTGCTTTCAGTTGAACGTAAATGCAGTGAAGTACACGTCTATGAGTAATTCATAAATATCTCTGCATGGATTACGTGAAATTAGAGTGTATAAACATAAAAATAATAATGCGGTTGTCATGCAATTGAGACACTCGAAAACCTGTTGTTATTATTAATTCATAATTTAGTTTCATTCGAAAACGATCTCACAACAATGTTCGCAATAAAACCTCAAAAAATCTGGTTCTGATGCTTCATACTTCACCATTCTTCTTTTATACAATCGCTTTATATCCCTCTTTGATGCACTCCAACCAAACGCTCACCAGTATATCCTTTTAAACGCTCTAAGCTTTGCGAAAAATTTTGCTCGTTTTTAGAACTCTTTCCGACTAGAATATTATCATCCACATGTCAAATATTATCATCCGATTATCATCAAAATATTATTTCATTAATATATTATATATACATATACTAGAATATTATGTAAACATCCAAAATATAATTTCATTCGGTTAAAAATATTATTTCATCAGATGATTTTGTTGTCTTCTGAAGAATTTTCCTCAAAAAAATCTCTAATTTTACACTCAATTATGCGTATTGCTCACACATGGATATTCTCATGTATATGTTACAATTCAAAGTTTGAATATTGAATAGAATTCAACATTTAAGTTCCATTTTATCACATAACACAAATGTTTGTCTTAGAGTTCACTTACCTTACTCGTAATTATTGTGTAAATAAGTTCATGTTAAGTCGATATCGTTGATCCGCTGATGTTAATTATTTTGAATATTTGTGAATAAAATGCTTTACAATGCGATCTGTATGCCCATTTAAGCACTGAAAAATTAGTTCGCTTACGCAATTCTCATGTAATCACAATAAAAGATTATGCATGATTATGATTGTGATTAATTGCGATCAATATGTTGTTTGAACTCTGATTAATGAAGCAAACTTAATAACACGATAACAAATAGATCAGCTGAACACAATATTAATAATACAGTGACCGCAATCAATTCGAGGTCATTGCTGTGACCATTGTTACTATTATCAGTTGTCATTATATCACATCGAATCGCAGTTTGATTATTTGTTCCATCATATAATGAGCTCTTTGCTTTTATGAATGCAATGGTATTGAATCAGTTCTGTCATATTTCAGCTGTTTTAATTCATAAATTTTATGGTTTCCGCTTCAAATTTCCGCTCGTTTAAAAGTTTTTTCAGACACTTTTAGAGAATTTATTTCTCAATTGGATTGTAACATTACAATGAATTGGATTCTGGTGGCAAGTATTTTTTGTGGTCAAGCAGTTCAAGGTTTGTTTGAAGTGAAATGTTTTAAGTTGCATTGACCAGTTGAACTGGCTAAATGAAGTGATCCTATATTCTATTTCTGAAAGAGACTTTTAAAAAAGGGACTAAAAGGATTAAAAAACTTAAAAAAGTATTAAAAAGACATCAAAACCGATATCAAAACGTGCACAAACAATAAATTTCAGTCCTATGTCAGGTCAATCTGGGTTCATTCTCGTTGGGTCAAAATCCCACTGGAGATCTCGAGATTGGTGTCGGTCAAATGGCGAACATTTTCGGATTTGGTGGCGATCGTGGCTTGAAGGTGACCACTGGAAAGGGAAAATTTGGACTGACATGTTAGCTGAAACTTTCCCAAAGACTTTGATTATCTTTTAATAACGGCATTAATGATTCAGTTCGTAAGCATTATGATCTTATTATTAGATCAGATTGTATTCGTTAAATGTAAAACTGTACACATCTTCAGCATGCATAGTCAACTACGTGACAAAAATATCTCATCTGCAAAGATTGACATTATCACATATCTCATAATTAATTGCGGTCACATTTCATAGCTCAAATAGCCTTAATTAGGCTGATTCAGGATAATGAGAAGGAAATCGCCATTATTTCTGTGAACTTTCAGCGAATCAAGGTGCGTTGATCGGAGGTGAAAGGGTTGGCGTTGATTCGGGACTATCGTTTCAGGAAGGAAAAGGACTCGATTTGGGCAGTTTACTGAATGTTAGTTCTTAATCTAATCGGTAATCGATGCATATTTGGTGAAAAAAGTTATCATTTGCTTAGTATTTCGTCTCGAATGAGCTAGAAATTATGAATTTTGGAACCTAATGATTAGCAAATTCTGAATGGTTCCAGGCATTTATTGCTTTGAAATTTACAGCAAAAAAGCAAAAATATTGTATGCATATCGTGCTCACATTCAATGAAATAGTTACGGATAACAAAAGTAACGAAGTTATATGGATTGTTAATGCTATGCGTTTACAGAATACTGGATAGCGAATGACAGTTCCAGCTAATTCTTTCACAATTGTGGATCTTTTTTTTCATAAGTAAAGCATCTGGTGACATCATCGAAGAGAACGATCTTCACCGATCATTATATGACAGCGATCATTACTGATCGAATGATCGATCGCAGTTTCAGTTTGGAAATCCTCAACCAGCGTCTACTCCCCAGCATCCACAAGGCCAGTTCGGCTCGTTTCTGGATAATATCGGTAAATTTGTGCAGTCAATCGCGAAACCATCGAGCACTTCTGCGCCTTTCAGTCCCTCTGGCTTGCCGGCTAATCACCCATTATCACCATCATCAACAGATCACTTCCTTCCGAAAAGTGTCGGACGGACTGGAAGCAAAGAATCGTGGAATTCGATTGAACAGTTGCCGATACGATCAGATCAACGCACAATGGATGAAAAGATCAAACTGGTACTCCCTCGAATGGTTTTTTGTGAAGGAAGAGGGAAGAGGAATTAGTCCAGGATTCATTATGGGGAAAGATCAGTTCGGAGCTGATTTTACGATGCTATTAACCCCGATGCTGAGCCAGATTTTGAGAGTCTATATTAATGCGTATCAAGTCAATCTGTCTAAAGACATTTAGCCTAACGACAGTATGCCTAAAGACACATTGCCTAACGGACAGTTGGCCTAACGGACAATTTGCCGAACGGACATTTTACCTAGCGGGCACTTTGCCTGACGGACAGTTTGACTAAAGAACAGTTTGCCTATTGGGCGAAATGTCCATTGAAAAACCGTAACTTAGGCAAACTGTCCGTTAGGCAATGTGTCTTTCGGCAAACTGTCGCTAGACAAAATGTCTTTAGACAGATTGACCGGTCATTAATGTAATAATAAGATAGTGGGGCGATATTTTTCAATTTACGAGGTACCAATGAAGTTCATTTTGGGACATACGAAAGGCACATATGTAACTGTAAAATCCTTGGAAAGGTGAGTTGATGTTTGCCGTATGTTGAACGCTTCCCGTTGCAGTTAGGTGCTGAGGATACTTGGGAAGAGCCGATTCCGATAAAAGTTGAGGAACGACGTTTGAGTGACAGTAAGGCCGATGAAGTCGGAGTTTTGAACGGTGGCGATTCAAGTTAGTCAAAATTCAATTCAATAAGATACTTCTGAAAGCAGAGCTTCTTGAGCCACATTCAATTGACAACGTATTAAAATTGGAGTGCTTATTCTCAAGATTGCAAAAATTCATATCAAGATTCTGAAATTTATGCGTCTCTGAAGTTGAAAGATTCTGAAAGACTGAAAGTGATTTGTTCATTTTCATTGTGCGGTGCGAGAGTCAACGTCTGATTCTACCACTTGAAGTTTAGGTAGGGTTCCAGGTGAAAGTGCTACGAGGTCAATGGTTGTGAACCCGCCGCAGTTACCCGGTTTAGTGGAAATCGACAATAATGCGGAAGATAAACCGAAACTGGGCGAGATGAGACGTCACTTTTTTTAACCGATGAGGGAAAGGGGACCTCTCAATGAAATCCGATTCTTTTCTTGAACTCAAAGGGAGCGAAAGGGTTAGAAAGCATAAGAGAAGAAGCTTTTGAAAAATCATTTGTGGTAAGTATGGTGAATTGCACTATTGCACTGTTTGTCTATAAATGATTTCCCGAAACTGTGCTATTAGAATTAAGTAACTTTATTTTGGTATTTATTGTATTATACTATTGAGCTGTCCGCTATTTTTGTGTAATTATTATATTCATGCTAATAAATGTCATGGATTCTAGAAGATACAACTTGAAAAGTGATAATTTTTAATATAATTTTATATGATGGTTCTGAAAGTGAGACTGTTCCTTGGATAAGTTGCAGTTCTTTTCATGCTTTGTATTATATCAAATGATGTGTTGAAGACAATTTCATGAATTTCCTCAAGCTTTCATTTGAAAACATCTCATAGAAATCGAATCGACTCGAATCAGTTATTTATATATATATTCTAACACAACATTTCGAAAAATACAAATCGATGCGTATAAAAATTTTGGAACAACACCATATGGAAGAGAATTTGTATCGTGTCAGACACAAAGTTGTGTTTTGTACATTATGTCAGATACGATTTACATACACGTATTTTTATCGTATCATAAAATGGCAAATATTTGTCTCGTTTGTGAATATGCAAACACGTAAGGAATGAACATGAGCGATAATAAAAAATAGAGAATTAAAGCGTGATGAATTGCTTTGCTTAGCGATTAATCCTTTGATAATGGCACTAGGAATGTGAGTGTCAAGTTATCAAGTCACAAAACGATTGAACATTGAAATCGTCAGAAATCACCATTGACGAGCGGGATTCAATGATTGGAATTTATTCGAGTGTAGAGGTCAGATGAAGATGGACAGCATAATTAAAGAATTCACTGCGTATTGCCATTGGTTTTTATTTGGCAAGTTGGCAAGATGAATTTTTTGTATTCTCGATTAATTTGAGGTAAGAAAATGGAGGTAGTTTCCAGGATTCATGACTTTTCTAATGGTTAGACTTTTGGATCGACGA